CAGGCCCAGTGGTTTGCAGTCAGAGAACTTGGAAGCCTTGGGGTCTTGTTGGTCCCCAGTGACTGGGGCTACTGCCATTGGTACTAGGTTGGCAGGGGCCTAGAGTAGGGATCACAGATGCTCAGTGGCCATAAATGTTAGGGATGGTCCCACTCAATGAAACTTGTCCCCTCCAGCTGTAGTAGTGCTGTTAGGCACTTGTAAGTATATCACCTAGGTCAGGGAATTGGCTTTCTTGAAGCTTTTGATTTTTTTTTTTTTTTTCCAGTACTGAGGTTTGAACTTCAGGCCTTGAGCTTGCTAGGCAGGCACTCTAACCACTTGAGCCACTCCTCCAGCCTTATTTTGCTTTAGTTATTTTTCAGGTAGAGTCTCAAGTTTTTGCCTGGGCTGGCCATGGATCACAATCTTCCTATCTATGTTTCCTGTACAACTGGTACCACAAGTGCATGCCGCCATGCCCAGCTCATTGGTTAAGATGGGGTCTCACAATGAATTTGCTCAGGGCCAGCCTCGAGCCAAGATTGATCTTTGTTAAGGAGGAGCTAGGACTGCAGGTGTGTGGGATGTGAAGCTGACCACTTTTGAAGGTTTAATGATTTGCACAGTCTCTGGCTCTGTAGTCTGGTGACTGCCATTAGTGACAGGTCCTTTTTGAGGGCTCATGACTTTTGGTTGTATTTCTTGGGAAAACAGGGTATCTTGCAGTCTGTGTTTTACATCATTCGTTTTGCTACCTTATCCTCAGCATCTCTGCCCTGGGCCAGGGGGGGTGAGGAATGGATACGTGGTGATAGGCAGCTGACAGGTCGTTAGCAGCGTCTTCTGACTCAGGGACCATGGGTGAGAGGGAGGTGGCAGGGATAAAGCCTGGTGGGGGCGGGACTGCTGGACGGGCACCATCAGCCTGGTGGGGATGATAGCTGCTCATCATGGGTGCATTGGGGAGCCCCTGCAGGCAGAGCATGGAAGCTCTCAAATTCTGACTCCCTTTGATTTTCAATCTCTCCAGATGGATGGCTGCCTTCACGGCAAGAAGGAAAATGTGTTTGGTCAGCATGGGCCCCAGGCATAGATGTGGAGGGGCTGGTGGGCCCTGGGGAAGGAATGGGGAGAGATGTACCTTCGGCCATTACAGGACACAGGTGCTGGGCCTGTCCTGACATTGGACTGTTCAAACCCAGCATCCTCTGTAAGAAGCTGTGGGGAACTTAATGCAGTTAAGGGAAGCCTCTGGTGGACCTGATGAATGGTCCAGCAATGATGCCTGCGGTTGATGTGGACTCCCCAGCCTGGAACTCTGAATTTAGGCTGTTACGTGTTTCCTTTATGTGTGAGATGGCTCCAGTGACACCCAATACAGTATCTAGATTGAATTATCACATGAGAGTTTCTCTTTTAGTCCTTCTCCAGTCCTGTCGACCATGCTAGATAAGTTCTCTGTAAGGCCTTTAACATCTGCCTTGAGCACTTACCTTGTCCTTTTTTACAAAGCCTCCACATGCCCTGGTATCCTAGGTGGGATCTGGTAGCATTTCACTTTTATGCCATTCCTTCTTCTGGTTACGTGCTGTGTGTACAGCAGGAGGCAGGAGGTACTGGTTTCCAGGCGTGGAGGTGTACAGTTTCAGTAGAAAGGCCTTTGGCGAAGGGGCAAAGGAAGAGGTAAGTTTAAGGAAACTAGTGGCATAAAGGCAGTGGGGGGGAATGGCACAGCCTCCTGCAGTGCTTTTTAGAAGACCGAAGCCTGGGAAATGCTGCTCGTCTTTATGCTCAAGTCTAGCATGACAGCGGCAGGGTAAGTGTGGGGCTTGTGGTACCCAGGCCTCACCTGGTGGTCTGCAGTTTGTCCTCTCCATCCTCCCTCCCTCCTTTCATTCATTCATTTATTCATTCATTCAGCAAAAACCCGAGTGCCTGCTGTATTCTGGGTGCCTTATTGGTTGCTGATGCAGTAACCAATTAGTAGGGTAGCCAGACTTAGATAAGGCTGGGAGGTTCTCACTTCTGTGTGGAAGCCACAATTGATCTCTAAGAAGTAGAGAGTAGAACAGTGCTCATCAGAGCCTGGGAGACTGTGGGAGAGGGATGTGGCAAGAGGATGGTTAATGGGCACAGGGGTACAATCAGATCAGAGGGGACAGGACTTGCTCTAGAGCCCAGGCTGGCCTGGAGCTGATCCTCCTGGCTCAGCCTCCCTGGTGCTGGCATTCCAGGTGTGCACCACTACACCTGGAGGAGGAATAGCTTCTAATGGTCTGTAGCACAGTAGGATAACTATGGTTGATAACAATTAGCTGAATATTTCAAAATAGCTAGCAGTGAGGATTTGAATATTCTCAACACAAAAAAATGATATATGTCTGAGGCGGTAGATGTACCTAAACAGATAATTTCACGTTGAATACACATGTTGATATGCCACACTGTCCCCTATAAGTATGTACAATTTGCTATGTGTCAATTAAAAATATTATAATAAAAAAAGAGCAGGGATCCTGTGTGATGAGTGTGCTTGTGGAGGGAGGTACTAAAAACCATGCGCTATGTGCCATGTGGCACAAAGGACGATTGCTCCACTCTGCGGAGTGGGTCCAGAGAAGAAAGCATTTGAGAGGATCTGAAAGAATAAATAAAAGCAGTTCACTAATAGGTGTTGGAGGCAGGAAAGGGGAATTCTAGGCAGAGGATTGTCTCATCCAGGGGTAGAAAGGCCTGAAGAAATGTGGTGAGACCCAGATCCCTAGGTCTAGTTCAGTATGGCTGGGGGGTAGATAGAGAGTCTCAGACTTTGGTGTGCATCGGAATCACTTGGAAATCTTGCTAAGATACAGAGGGCAGCCAGAGCCTGTGTTTCTGACCGGCTCCAGGAGATGCTGGTGCTGCCATCTGCAGACCTACACAGTAGCGTCCCTGTGATGGTAATAAGTTGATAGCAGCTCCTGCTGATGAGTTTGGTTGTAGTCCAGGCTTGGCCTTGCATGTGTCTTATTTAACTCTTACCAAACCTGTGGGGTGGAGAATTAGGATTATACCTGAGGAAACAGACAGGCTTGGTAATATGGCAGAACAGGAGTTGAGGCTAGAGGTGGCCCAGTTGCCCCAGAGATGAGAAAACCTCCAGTGTCGGCTTGGCCTTGATCTTAAGGGAAAGGGCGAGGGTGCTAACCAAGAGGGGCTGGAGGGATTCACTTTTTACAGTGGTGCTCTGGCTGAGTGCCCACCACAAGCAAAGAGGCATGTGGCATTTGGCTCCTAAGTGAAGGATAGAATGTTTTAAAACCAAGTTTGTTTTAAATCAGGCTGCTCATTATTTCCAGCCCTTCTGCATTGCAGTTTTTTGTTGATGTCATTTCACTTCATCACCCTGGTTGAGTTTTAAATGATAGATTTAGTTCAGTGTTTGAACTTCTTTTTGAACCCTAACTTGATCACCTCTCTAAACATCAGGATTGAGGCTCCTTCCTAACACTGCCATATTGCTTGGTCAGGCCACCTCACAGAAGGCAAAATGGCTTTAATTACTTAATCTGAGCTCATTAAAAATTTTTGACTGTTCACTGTCCGACTCTTGCTTCGTGTTTTCTTTCTGTTCAGGTTTTGCCAGCTAAACCTTGTTATGAGCTGTGTGTCAAGGCTGAATATTGCATTTTGAATTTAAGAGTCAAATACCAATTTGAAATCCTGACTTTTATATCTGTCTTTGAGATTCACATAAATGAAATGGAAATAACACAGGGCTGCTGTGTCATGAAATATTGATTCTGTCTCTCCTTGCAGAAATCTTGAAGGGATAGCTGTTGTGGCATTTTATACAGAAAGATTGTTTTTCTCTTTAGCCTGCCTTTCACTGTGTTGATTTACCCATTTGTAAATTCCCATTAAGAACTAGACCTGGGGGGGCAGGGTGTAAAGCTCAGTGGCAGAGCACTTGCCTAGCATGTACCAGAGGCCCTGGGTTCCATCCCAAAAAACAAACAAGACTTGTTGGAAACTCATGGCCCCTGCAGAGGCGCTTTTTGTAAATTTGAAAATGAAACCTGCTCCCTGAGTAGGGTTCAGCCTGACTTGCCCTCTTCCTGTCTGCTTGTGCAGTTGTCCTTTGCTTTACTTCCTCAAGTCCCCTCTTTGTCTGGGCCAGTCCCACTGAGGCTGCCTGGTTTAGTTTCTTTTGTGGATTGTGTTCCCCACCTCCTTGTCCTGCAGAGAAGACACTGCTTTAGGAGCCAAGTGAGCTCATCCTCGTTCCCTGGCCCTGTCTTCCTGGGCCTTCTTCCATCTCTCTAGACCGTGCTGGTGGTTTGTGGATAGACAGGGCCCAGCCATCTGTGGATTGCCTTTGGGCTTAATGCAGGAGAATCCTGAAGCTCTGCAAGCAGGAATACTTTAAAAAACCTTTTCTCACACTTGTTCTGCTTATTCATTATAGAAAATTTATGGGGGAGAGTTTAAGAGAAAAAAAAAGAAAGGAAAGGAAAGGACTTCATAATTCCACTACCCGGAAAAACATGTCACGGCTACCTTTTTGGTGTTTACCTCTGGCCATTTCCTGTGTACATGGGTGGATGCAAGCATGCGGCTTTTGTCACACACCTTGTGAAATCTGACCTTCACCTAATTCTGACAGCATCTTTTTACATGGCTGCAGAGCATTCTCCACATGAATGATGGCAGTTTTAGTTAGGGAGCCCTTTCCTGTAGGGCATTTATGTTGTTTTCAGTGTTTTTGCCACTGTTGATCTTGTGTGCAGGTGGGCATTTTATTTTTGCAACAGTGGGATTTGAACATAGGGCCTCATGCTTACTAAGCAGGCACTCTGCTGCTTGAGCCACTCTGCCAGTGTAGATGGGCATCTTCGTAAAACATTTCATAGGATGATTTCCTTAAAGCAGAACACAGAACCAAGCTTCTTTCTTTCCTTTCTTTTTATTTATCTATTTATTTACTGTTTCGTATATGCTTTTGTTGCATAATGAGAATTACTTTTCTTCCTTTCTAGACACTACAACAACAGGAATGCAAACTTCTCTACAGCCGAAAAGAGGGTCAGAGGCAAGAAAATAAAAACAAAAACAGATATAAAAACATCCTGCCCTGTAAGTATCAGTATGCTGCTGACTGATCAGTCAGCAGTCACTGTGTCCTCTTGTTAACAGAGCCTAGGCCTTGGCTTCTGAGCTGGTGAGCAGTTTCCAAAACAATCCAGTGGGGACTGATGGCCTCATCCCCTGAGTTTCCGTGAGACTGATTACCAACGAGAAGTGCCATGAGGAGGCCTTGTCTGTGGCCATTTCCTTCTCTTAATTAATTCTCTCTGCCTAAGTGTGGTAATGTCAAGGCTTATGATTGCTTATGCCAGGCAGGGGACACAGGAGTCTAAAATTTGTCTTTGGTCCCTAGTGTGCAGCCTGTGAGTCTTAGGGAAGTTGCGCCTCCTTTCTGGGACTCAGCTCACTCATTTGGGACTCATGGGTGGCTCTGCTTACTGAGGCCTGGCTTAGGTTACTGGAGATGAGGACACGGACCAACACTTTGCTCAGAAAAGCCCTGTAGATGTCCATAAAGCTACATTTCCTTTCATGTGCAAGTGCTGCCTGGCAGAGTCCAGGTTGAGCCCTGAGGGTGAGAAAGGACTGGAAAGGTGCAGGCCTTTCACTAGGACCTCAGAAATGGCACTGCACAAGCATAGATCACCAAACCAGAGGGCCAACTCCATGCCAGGCTTGCAGCTCGACGTTATTTAATCCACACACATAAAGTGGGCATGAGCAGGTGTTCTTCTCTTCCCTGTTTCATAGGCAAGGTTGCAAGTGGAAGTCAGCGGGAGAATGACACTTGAGCCCCAAAGGCACTGTTCCTGGCACCCTGTGCCAGTGCAGGGTCTCCAGGGTGGGCTGTGCAAGGCATTGCAGGGGTGGGGAGGAACATGTAGCGCTTCTGCTTACTCATGTCCTTCTGAAGGAAGAAAAGAAACATTGAAATCTGATGCATAGATTGATGCACAAGACGTTCAGCTAACTTAAAAGTAAGGCTTGCTTTCAGATAGATTGTACTTCTGAATGTGTATTTCAGCATTCCAAAACTTGTTATGGGGTACATGGTCAAATTTAGAGAGTATTGCTCTCATGTATCATCAGATTGGAGCCCTTTGTCAATTATTATAAACCCATCTGTGAGAGAGAGAGAAAGAGAGAGAGAGAGAGAGAGAAGCACAGACTTTCTGCAAGTATTTGCACATATACACAGAGTGTACGTTGCATCGTCATGGCTGTTTGTGGTGTGTATGGGGGAGGATGGGAGGGTGTGGGGACATTTCTCATAGCGAAAAAAAGGAAATGGATTTGCAGAGCAGCAGTTTGAGCCTCTGCTGGGTCCTGATGACCGTGGGGAAGCTTCATTCTTGTATGTCTAAGTTTCACTTCTGCTCAGGGCGTCTGCTGGTACTCACAGTAAGTTACAGAGGGTAGGAAAAGGTGAAGGGAACAGCATTTGTGCAGTTTCTAAATACAGTGTTGCCTTTTCTTCTCTGAAGGCCTCAATCAGATGTTTCCTCTGATTCACCTCATCTTATTATTTTTTTTTTGATGGTGGGAATTGAACCCAGGACCTTGCAGGGCAAGCGCTCCAACACTGAACTATAATCCACATCTTATTTCTTTAAAGATGGGCAATCTAGACGAAAGAAGCTATTAGTAAGGATATAGGGTTATGTCATGAATTCCCATTGTAAAGCACGTTGTTTTGGGTAGAGCACTCAGATTTCTGTACAATAATGTGCTTTTGTACACTGACAACAGTTGATACTGCTGCATCTTGTCTTTTACACATTTCATTCTCCTTCATTTAAAAATCTTTTTATTATGGACATTTTATTTTTTATTTATTTTTTTGGTATCACTGGGGTTTGAACTCAGGGCCTCATGCTTGCTAGGCAGGCACACTACCACTTGAACCACTCCATTGGCTCTATTTTTGTGATTTTTTTTTTAAGAGATAGAGTTTCTCGAACTATTTGCATAGGCTGGCTTTCAACCAAGATCCTCCTGATCTCTGCCTCCTGAGTAGCTAGGATCACAGGCGTGAACCACTAGTGCCTGGCCTCTTCTAGACATTTTAAATGTATTCAATTCAAAAGTAGACGGAACTTGCACATATCAGTCATCCAGCTTCAACAATGATCAACTCATGCACAATCTTGTTTCATGTTTACTCTGACCCACTTGCCCCTCTCAACTCAAGTTATTTTGAAGCAGCTCTTAGATATTGTTATTTATCTGTACTATAATCTTCTTTCTTAAAACAGAAACTAGAAACTTTTTGGTTTGAAATACTTTTGGACTCATAGAACTGATAGTATAGAGGGTTCTCATGTACCCATCCCCGCTTCCCCCATGATGACCCCCTGTGTACCCCCAGTTCATTACCAAGACAAGGATTGCAAAGAAGGCATTGTGGACTGGGCACAGTAGCTTCCACCTGTAATCCCAACTGCTCAGGAGGCAGAGATCAGGAGGATTGAAGTTCAAAGCCAGCCCGGGCAAATAGTTTTAAAGACCGTATCTTAAAAGTACCCAATACAAACAAGGGCTGGCGGCATGACTCAAGTGGTAGAGCATCTGCCTAGCAAACATGAGACCCTGAATTAAAAAATCCTAGTACTGCCAAAAAAGAAAAAAAAAAAAGGCACTGTGTGTGGACTAGGCATAGTGGCTCCTGCCTGTAATCCCAACTACTCAGGAGATGGGGATCAAAATGATTACTGTTTGAGGCTAGCCAGGGCAAACAGTTAGGGAGAAACCATCTCAACAAATAAGCAGAGTGTGGTGGCACACACCTGTTGTGTCATCCCAGCTATGCAGGAGGCAGACAAGAGGATCAAGGTCTGAGGCTGGCACAAACAAAAAACACGAGGCTGGCACAAACAAAAAACTAAAGCCAAATGGCTGATGGAGTGGCTCAAGTGGTAGAACACCTGCCTGGCAAGCATCAAGCCCTAAGTTCAAACTCCAGTGCCACAGGAGAGAAAAACAAAAGCAAAAACAAAAACAGGCCCCTGAGGCCCTCATATGTGCTCATTTATTCGCGTATGTGTCTATTTAAGGTTTTATTTTTATGTGGTTTAGCATTAAACTCAGATGTGGTTGAGGCTAAACTGCTTTGTGCTGAGGCTGCATGCTTACACAACTGTGGTGTCTTCCTTCCAGTTGATCACACGAGGGTTGTCCTACATGATGGGGACCCCAACGAGCCTGTTTCCGACTACATCAACGCAAACATCATCATGGTAAACTTGCCTTTCTCAGGCTTTTCTTGCTGTGCGTTCCTAGCTTCTTTTTGCATTTAAATCCTTGTGTCTGAAAGCAACTTCCAAATGTTTAAAGTTCTTTCTCCCCAAATTTCTAGCCTGAATTTGAAACCAAGTGCAACAATTCAAAGCCCAAAAAGAGTTACATCGCCACACAAGGCTGCCTGCAAAACACAGTCAACGACTTCTGGAGGATGGTGTTCCAAGAGAACTCCCGGGTCATTGTCATGACGACGAAGGAAGTGGAGAGAGGAAAGGTGAGCCAGATTGACTTCTTTCTATTCTTTTTTTTTTTTTTTTTTTGGTGGAACTGGGGTTTGAACTCAGGTCTTTGCACTTGCAAAGCAGGCACTCTACACTTGAGCCACTCCTCTAGTCCATTTTGCGTTGGTTATTTTGAAGATGAGGTCTCAAGAACTATTTGCCTGGGCTATCCCTTCAACCACGATCCTCCTGATCTCAACCTCTCAAGTAGCTAGGATTATAGGCATGAGCCACTGGTGCCTGGCTTCTTTCTGATATTTTTTTTTATAATGGTGGGACCCAGGACCTTGCTCATGCTAGACACAGGCTCTACTACTGAGCTACACCACTAGCCCCTGACAGAATGTTTTTAAAATATTGGATGTGTCAGGTTGGCTGTGTGAGGAATTGAATTAACAAATTAAGCTCATTTTAGCTGGCCTTGTGGAAAAAAGGGAGTGGAAGACTGGGTGGGATGTGCCCCAGTATAGTTTTCTTTATGTGTTTTCTGCTTGGGGCTCATGGAACTTCTTGGATCTACAGATTTATAATTTTCTTCAAATTTGGGTATTCATCTTTGATTCTTCAACTGTTTCCCCCAGGACACCAATTATCCACACATTCTCTGTATGTTAGGCACTTGTCGTTGTCCCACAGCCCACAGAGATTTTGCTCTTTGATTCCATTTTATTTTCCCTGTTTCACTTGGGGCAGTTTCTTCTGCTGTGCCTTTCAGTTAATCTTTTCTTCTGCAGTGTGCATCTGCTCTTAGACCTAGCCAGTATAATTTCACAGTAGACCTTGTGGTCTTCATTCCTAGATATTTTCTTTGGGTCTCTCCTTTTCACACTTGCAGAATTTCCTGTGCCCTTTCAATATATAGACTATATAATCACTGCTTAGTGTCCCTGCCTACCAACTCTATTTGTAATTTCCGAGGTGTGTTGGGTAGGGTGGGGGGTAGATCAATCCGGCTGTCCTACTGTCTCCAGCAGCAGAAGTGGTGGGGGAGAATGACAGGGTGGCTCATGCCTTGGGGACAGGGCACACTCACAGTCAACAGCGACGTCCTGCTCATGAACTTTTGTTCTGGCGGCACCGGGCTTTGAACTCAGAGCCTGTGCTTGCTAGGCAGGCACTCTACCTCTTTGAGTCATGCCTCCATCTGTTTTTGCATTGGTTATTTTTGAGACAGGGTCTTGCTTTTTGCCTGGGGTGGCCTGGACTGTGATCCTCCTATTTATGGTTCCCACTGTAGCTGGGATGAGAGACAAGCACCACTGTGCCCAGCTTTTTTTCATTAAGATGGGGCTTGCAAACTTTTTTGCCTGTGTTGGCTTCAAACTATGATCCTCCCAATCTTGGCCTCCCCAGTAGCTAGGATTCCTGGTGTAAGCCATTGGCACCTGGCTTTCTTCATGCCTTTGAGGTCAGATCTGGGTAGCGTAGCTTCTTCCAGCAGTGACATTAGGTGTTCTTGAATTCATGGGTCAGTTACAGTGTCTTCCTGGTTTATGCATCAGACCAGCAGTGCTTGCCCTGATGTGGACTGGAGCCCCTGCCCTGCTTTCTTCTTGCTTGGAGGTGCAGGAGGCTACTGTTCACAGAGGACTTGGCTGTGACAAGGGGTTTTGTGTGGCTTCAGAGAAATCAGTATCAGTCACCATCAGAAGGGCTGCCGGAAGCTCCTAGAACAGCCAGGCCTTGGCTAGAGAGCTCTGCCCCAGTGCCCACCCCCTTATCTGGGTCTCTGCCTGCTTCCCATCCTCCTCTTCACTTTGGGGGGCTAGAGGATGGCACCCCAGGCTTTTGCCTCTCCACGGCCTTCATGACAGCCTAATCATGTACCCCTAGTGAACAGAGGGGAAACCAGACCGTGGACTGGCCCCTTTACTTCCTCCCCTGTGCTTGAACCCAGCAGAAAGAGTGCCAGCTCTCACAGCTCGCCTCTGTTTGCCGAGGTTTGCTTGAGTAGGGAGAGCTGCAGGAGCAGAGTGGTGCTCTTCTGAGGCGTGGTTTCACTTCTTGTTCTCTGCTGGGGTCTCTGTACTGGATGCTCAGTCCTCCCCGTGGAATGACCAGTAGCTGCACTCAGTACAGTTCAAATTAGAAGGGCTTATTTGGGAAATATAAAAAAATTGTATCACATCATCACAATCTATGAAACACTGGAGGCAAAGTTGAATTCAGAATAATAATAAGTCAGAGACTGCATGCTTCTGTCAGACTTTTCTCCAGCCACATTTGTTTCCTTCCAGCTAATCAGTGGCTGAGGATGTCTGCAGCTGTACTCTTAGTCTAGTTTTCTGACTGTAAATTTCTCTGTCTTCCTAATATACAAGGTCAATTTCTCTTGTTGCTATTTGTGTTTTGGTGGTGTTGGAAAGTGAGTGTTGTGGGTGTCTGGTCCCAGACAAAACAAAAGCATTCTCTTCCCAGTACACATCACCAACTAGATAAAAGCACACCTCTCACTGAGCAAAACAGCTCCCTTTCTGGCAGCAGGAACAATTTCCTTGGTGCCATAGTTTTCCTTCTGCCTGCTCTCGAAGCCCCAGCCATTGTGGACTCTGCGTTTCCAGTTCAGGGAGAGTGGCGTGTGTGGTTGAGATCAGATGGGTTTGCAGATAGAAAAGGCAGCTGGATCAGAACTCCCCAGGCTTCTGCCTGTGATTGACTTGTTCACACTTGGGTTAGGTAAGGCAGGGAGTCCTACACTGCTGTGGATGTGGCCAGTCTGGCTTGTTAGGTGACCCATCCACTTCCAGAACCCTGGCTTGCCTTCCCCACAGAGGGACTGGCAGAGTGCTAAAGTTGGAAACTCAGCCTTGCCAGCCAGTACCTTCTGATTGGCTGGCCCCTTCCTCTGCATCTTTTTTCTTTAAAATGTAATCAACAAACATTGAGTCTCCTTTGGTCTATGGCTTGGATTAAACAATTCTTCCACAAGTCCTTTCCTCTTCGCACCTCTGTCTGGGGCTGCTTTTCTTATTTAAACTCTTCCTTCCTCTTTGAAAACCTGACATGCTAAACAGACCACTTTCCATGTTAGTGGTCAGTGACAAGACTTGGCATTTGTTTGCTGCTGGTTTAGACTTTTATTTAGGGCTCACAGAGGTTAACTGTCTTTCCTCTCATCTCCAGAGCAAATGTGTCAAGTACTGGCCGGATGAGTGTGCGCTCAAGGAGTATGGCGTCATGCGTGTGAGGAACGTCAAAGAGAGTGCCGCTCATGACTACACATTAAGAGAGCTCAAGCTTTCAAAGGTCGGACAAGTAAGTATACTGTCGTATTTTAGAGGCTCTGGTACCGTTTGTGGTACGCAGCCCTCCAGTATCTCTCGGTTACTTGAGTTTGTGTGATTTCATGCACTCATTCACGCATTCATTCAGCAACCATTTTGCCTTCCGTGTGCTGGGCAGTTTGGGCTCTGCTGGTCCAATGTGAACAAGATAGGTGCGGCCCCTGACTTTACAGAGTCTAGGGAGCCAGCGATTTAAAAGTGGTAATCAGCTAAGCTTTCTGATTAGGCCAGTCTGTAAAGGTTACAGAAGGGTATATTCTACAGTGATGAGAGAGAGCCTCTCTAGAGCGGTGACACTTGAGCTGAGACATTAGTAGAGGTACCAGGCATCTAGGGAGTCAGGAGAGCAGGGTTTGAAGCAGAGGGAGCAACCAGGACAAAGGCCCTGGGACCTGTTTGTGATCAAATTCCAGGCATCTGAGCTTTTTCATTGCATGTGGTTCAGGTTACATCCCAGGGTGACTAACTTTACAAAATAAAACAGGATTAGATTTGGGTTCATTTTAATTTCATGTTTGGAGATATTTACTAATTTGAGGTACTCTTTGGGGTACACAGAGATGAAGGAAACTGTTTCTGTCCTGTTGTCATGGGATTACAATTATGCCGTAGCTAGCAGTCACAAACACAAATAGTTGTGCTCCAGCCTCTGCACACATCTGCAACCCTGCACATTCACAGCCCAGAGACGGGCTTCCTTCCTGCTTCTACTGTAGCAGGGAGAACTTGCTAGGAGAGGTTGGGCCTGGGAGAAGACGGCGAGGAGACGCCTTCTGGGTGAAGGTGGTGTTGGAGCCACAGTTCTGAAGTGCACACTCTAGGAAGATGACCTTTAGGGGTAGTGAAGACAAGTGGGAGGGAGGAAGGAAGCTTGGGTAGAGTGAGTCTGGGACTGAGTAGGACATTTGGACTTTATCCATCATCCACGTGGAATACGTGACTGTTCTTGTGGGGCGTGAGCAGGTGCAGAGCTGTGGGCCAGGAAGGAAGCCTTTGCAGCCCTGGGGGGACTGGATGGCGATGGGGCTGGGAGCCTGGCAGGAGGCCTCTGCTGTGGTCCAGGTTTATGGCTTCCTCTGTATACACAGAAACTTCAGCAATCCATCTTTGTTGTTCTTCATATTCTTTCTCTTGTCAATGTATTCTTGTTTGTTTGTTTTTGTTTTTTTGTGACAGGGTCTTGTGATGGAATCCAGACTGGCTTAGAACTCGTGATCCTCTTGCCTCTGCCTCCCGAGTGCGGGGACTGCAGGCGGGTGGCATCATGTGTGGCTGGAAGCGGGTATTGTGTAAAATGCTGGAATAATTGGAAAAGAAGCAGGGTGTGAGAGACACCTGTGGAGGGTCTGAGAGCATGGGGATGCCTAACTGTTGGAGGGAGATGAGGGATCAAAGATGTCTTAGAGGTTGGAGTTCGAATGGACCCTGGAGGCAGATGTCAGAAAAGCTGAAAGAACTGACTGTTGTCTTTTGGAGCTGCATTGAGATTCTGAATGGTAGGGTCCATCAGGCCTTGGACACTTGTCATTCAGAGGCTCACTGGATGATGTGGTGTCTGTCGTACTTTCATTCATTCATTCAGATGCTCATTGGAGCTGGTGGAGTGACTTGGGTGGTAAGAGCACTTGCCAAGCAAGTGTGAGGCCCTGAGTTCAAACTCCCAGTGCCACCAAATGAATAAATAAATAAACAAATAAATAAATAAATAAAAGATGCTCGTTGGATGACGTGACGTCCATTGAACCTTGACCACTCATTCACATGCTTGTTGGATGACATGGTATCTGTTGGGCCTTGGACACACTCACTCAGATGCTTATTGGTGACTTCTTGATGTCTATGCCATGCTGATTGTGGAGCTAGTGGGAACAAGACAGATAGCATCCCTGCCATCCCCAGGGTACGCTAGTGACCCAGTAGTCACACATATGAGTACGTCATTATAAGCTGTAGTCAGGGCTAGGGAGGAAAATGTGCTGGTTTGGTGGAGTGAGTAGGGCTGACTTGGGGGGGAGGAGGAGCTGAGGCACAGGGAGCAGCGCTGAGGGCTCTCTAGGGCAGCAGGTGGCCCCAGAGAGAGCTCTGCAGGTCTGGAGGGGCAGGAGCAGTATATTCAGTGGGCCAGGGCTTAGGAACAATGAGGAGGCTGCTGCAGTACAGTGGGGTAAAGATGGCAGTCTGTAGGCATGGGGTGTACTCAGGAGGCTGATGAGTTCGAGGCCAGCCTGGGCTACGATATGAGAACTCTGTCTCATTCTTCCCACCCCACCCCACCCTTCCTCCCCCAGTAAAAAAAAGAAAAAGAAAAAGATGGAAGAGCTTGAACTAGTTTGGTGGCAGGGAACTAGAGAGCAGAGGACTGGCTGGAGATAGTTGTGGAGGAACTGTGAGGGATTTAATGGTGAAGTGAACCCGGCCTGAGGGTGCCATTCTGCATGCCCTGCAGATCCAGCTGGACAAACAGGGTGGGGGAAGGGGTAGTAGGGTGATGGGGGAGCAGGAGGGAGAGCAAGAGGCCTCTGGCCCCGTGAGGCTGGAACTGCCTTTGAGATAGCACAGTGCAGATGGCAGGGGGTGGGTGGGGGGGTGGCAGCCAGGACACTGTGCATAGACTGGCTTTAGTCAACAAAGGGGCATTTTCCCTGTGGCAGCTGGAGCAGGAGGTCCAGGTGCTGATGTGAGTGGAGAGGGTTTGTTCTGTGTTCTGTTTGTGACCAAAGGCTCAGCTATCAGTTCAGAGTCAGAGGGAGTGAGAAGAAATGGAGTATCTGGAGAAAGAAAGTGAAGTAAGTATGGAGTAATACTCACATAGAGAGGCAGGAAGTCCAGATATGTCTGGGCAGAGTGGAGCGCCAGTGGAGATGTGAACATGAGTGTTTGGATAGCCTTCACCTGGCTGTGATTTTTGTCCTCTGTGAGAATCCTCTGCTCCTTGGACACAGACAGAGGCAGGTGGCCCACCCAGGCCTGGGCTTACACTATGGGGACAATAAGTGGAAGGGGGGTCAAGGAAGTAGAGGCATGTGGTGGGAAGCTGTGTTCCACAGTCCATGATCCTAGCTGGATTGGGGGCACAAGGGCAGGAGAAGGCTGGTGGAAAGTGGAGGGGCTCAGCAGTCTGATGGCTTGAGAAGATGGCCAGGAGACTCGAGTGAGTGGGAAGCTATGTGACTGTGGTCCAGGGTGGACTGTCTGGATTTTTGATGTCAGAGCAGACACAGTTCTGCCAGTGATGGGGAAGGCGTGGAGGTTCAGCCTGTGGCAGAGATGCGAGGAGGTGCAGAAGTGTAGAAATGAAAGGATTTGGAGGACCCTGACCAAGACTCCAGGTCAGCTTTTCTAGTGCTGTTTTTGAGATAAACTGCCTGTCTTCTCACTTCAGGTGTTTCTGAGTAGCAGGTGACAGTGAGAATCCTTTCACCCCAGATGCTTTGGAAATGTCAGTGTGGGCTTGTGTTCTGTTCCCGGCATGGATCCTGGCAGGGCACCCGTCCTGTCTGCTGCTTCACTGATGATGTTTCCCCTGCTTTTTGCGGGGTTTTTGTGTAGCGTTGCAGGGTTTTCTAACATGGTCTCTCCTGGGACCAGGGAGGGAGGGCAGAAGGGGTGTGACATGCAGTGAGGCTGGGGCATGGCTCTCATGCCCTTGCTGGCTATTCTGTGACCCATGGAGCCACCTGATTTTTAGGTCACTTGATAACATCAAGGAGTATTTTCCCTGATATCAGCAAGTTAGATGCACACAATTCAAGGACAGATCTTAATTGTGGCCCACGTTCCTTGAATGCTCTGTAGTTCACTGGTGGTAGACACTGGTGTAATTAGCCACCTCTTGCTTTCTTTTAAAACGTCACTTGACTTCTTGGGTTGGCTCCAATGTTGTCAAGATGCTGAAGCATGACTAGTGCTACTCCAGTGGCCTGACCTGCACCGACGCAAAGCATGTTGCTGGTGCTCTTCTGTGTCTCCGTGCCACTGATGTCCTTTGTAATTGTCACTTCTCACAGCAGCCACAGTGTGTGGGAGAGGCTGTGTGTTTAGTGAGCTCCTTTAATCCTGGGGCAGATTATTGTTTCCATTTTGCAAATGAAATTGAGGCTTCAAGATGTGCAAGGGGCCAGTGCATATGAATGCCTGGGATTTGAGCCTAAATCCAGCCATCTGATTTCAAAACCTCCCTTCTTATCTGCTTGACCCTAAACAAAAGAGCATCTGTGTGTACATGGTGGGGAGGATTGGGTATAAAAGATGCATGGTTTGATCAGTAGAGCGCGTGCCTAGCAAATATGAGGTCCTGGGTTCAAACCCCAGTACCTCCAAAACAAAACAAAACAGGAAACCAAACAACAACAACATCAAAAAACAGGAAAGAAAAGAAAGACAACAAAGACTACAGATGTCAAGGGAAGACTTATTTCCTCAGCTGCTGGAGGAGGGATCTGGGTCCTTAGAGACCTCAGTTGCCTTTTGAGTTGGGCACAGCGTGGGTGAGGAGGAGTGGAGACATTGCCTGCATTGCTGACTCACAGCGATGTTTTGGGCTGTGTTACCTGAAGAACAAGTGGCCACACTGGACGTGTCCATGCTCAGGAAAGCGGCAAGGGTTGCCTCCAGGGCTGCCCAATCAGATCCCAGTCAGATCCTGGGAAACCAGAGTCTGTCAGAGGGCTGGGCTTTGGCTCTCCCAGGATCTGGGAGTGCGTGGGACCAGCCCTCCCTCAACTCCTTGATTTATTTAATTCTTTTCTGGTTTTTCTTGGCTCTACTCCAGGGGAATACGGAGAGAACGGTCTGGCAATACCACTTTCGGACCTGGCCGGACCATGGCGTGCCCAGTGACCCTGGGGGTGTGCTGGACTTCCTGGAGGAGGTCCACCACAAGCAGGAGAGCATCATGGACGCAGGCCCCGTTGTGGTTCACTGCAGGTGACAGCCACAGCCTGCCCACCTCTCTCAAAGCCAGGGCTTGCCTCACCTACTCAGCCCCACTCCGTAACTGTAGGAAAGCTTTAAGTCTATTGAGGCACGGGTCAGCTGCACTAGGGGACCCCATGACCCCAAAGTATGTTTCTCATAGATGCTGCTGGGTGGAGGGGGTGGACACAGTCCTTATTCTCAGGGATCCCCAGGTTTTGCTTTTAATATAGTAATTTAGGATTCACATTTTTGTGATCCTGTTCTTCTACTGTGGAAGTAAGATATATTTCCCCGATGCTACGGTACCTGCTTCATGAGATTCCAGTTGCTTCTCACCTGGACCTTTGGTGGAGGGCTATGCCAGGGCCTCTGTAGCTGAGTGTGGGCTCCTGGTGCCTCAGCTTTGACTTCTTGATTATACTGGGGAGTGTCTGCCTTCCTAAGTCTCATTCGTATTTTGAGCAAGTAGAAGTGTACAAAACTTGCTTTGCTCAGTATTTTTGTAAAGCTACCATTTATTGGGCACTTGTTCAGTGCTACCCTCAGAGCTCAGTGTTCCTGTACATTATTCACAACAGCACTGTAAGGTGTCTGCTGCTGCTCCCATTTCACCCATGAGGGAACTGAGGGTTGGAGGGGTGCAGGGCCTTGCCTCAGGCATATGGTGCCCAAGAAACTGGGCTCCAGCTGCAGGGTGGGCTGAATCCTGACATATTTGCAGGTATGAACTGGCCTCTTCTAAATGCTCCCATTGTTCCAAATGTTAATAGTTTGCTGTTGAGTATGAAGCACCTCAAGAATGACTCCACTGTCCCCGCTTTTTTGTCCTTCTGCCCACAGTGCTGGAATTGGCCGGACAGGGACGTTCATTGTGATTGATATTCTTATTGACATCATCAGAGAGAAAGGTAGGTCAAGAAGCCACAGTTCTGTTTGTAGTTTGTAGGAGGAAAGTTTCAGAGAAAATAGCCTGGGAAGGAGAATTCAAATGTGATAAAATTTCATAAAAATCTGAGTAGAAGACATCCACTTTCACTATGTCTGCCTAAGAAGAGAAGTGATGCTGTTTGAGCTATGGCCACATTGTGTGGCCTTGTCTTGCACATACAGCAGTGGTCTCTGGCCTGTGGTATGGGGCGGTGACATTGGGAAGTGGGAGAATCCTGACCCCCAGCACCTGGTCATGTCATCTTGTGGCATCATTCCGAGCATTGGCACCGCCGCTCAGAGGTCTAGCGCTGTGGCCCTTGAATTGAGGTCATTTAGAGCAATGAAGAGTGACCCTGCTTGCTCCCCACATCTGCTAAAAGCTGTGCTTCGAACAGCTCCATCCTGGCTCTGCACTGCTGCAGCTTCACAATCTTTGCTTTGTAGGTGTCGACTGTGATATCGACGTTCCCAAAACTATTCAGATGGTGCGGTCCCAGCGGTCAGGAATGGTCCAGACAGAAGCACAGTACCGGTTCATCTACATGGCTGTCCAGCACTATATTGAAACACTACAGCGCAGGATTGAAGAAGAACAGGTATGAAGCTGAAGGGGCTGGCACGGGTCTCCTTTCCTATCCTGTCCTTGCTGGGCAGTGTGTCTCTGCTGCCCTTTGGGCAGGAGCATGGGCTCTGATCAACAGCTGTCTTTATTTGGGAAATAGATGCCCAACTCACTCCCTTTGGAGACTGAAGCAGTCCCCACTTCACAGCTCAGGGCAGGATCAGGAGGTACCACACTTGTCCTGGCCTTCCATGGCAAGTTTGGAACCCAGGCTACCACCTGCTCCAGCTTTGATCTGGGCCATGTTTACCCTGATTCTCTCTTTTAAAGCAAATGCCTCACTCTCAGGAGTTCAGGCAGCTTGAACCACTAATTTGGCTGAGTTGGAAGCAGTGAAATTTCAATTTTAATAAGCTGTGCATAATGAAGGAGAACGTGGAATTGGAGCCTTTCCATTGAAACTATTCATAACAGACACAAAGCTGAATTAATTAGGGGTGTATGGAGCCAAAGGAGAGAAGAGAGCTGCTCTTTTGGGGAACTGTGCCCCAGACCCATCACACTGCTACAGGTGGAGCAGTGTCATCAGCCGCCTTTGTTCTTTCCCCCTCGCTCACTCACAGTGGGATTAGTGGACAGGTCTCATACTAGATTGCTTCCTTGTGTGAAACAATGAGTGTATGGAAATGGAAGGTCAGATCATTAACAAGCTGCCGGTGCTTTAAATCTGATTTCTGGTTTTTGGAGGCAGGGGCTTGCTATGTAGCCCAGGCTGGTCTCAAACTCTCCATCTTCCTGAGTGCCGAGATTGACAGGCATATGCCGCCACACGTGACTTCAGTCTGCATCTGATTCACGGTTTTGTCTAGTGTTGGGGATTGAACCCAGGGCCTTGATAGGCTGCACACGTGTTCTACCACTGAGTCACACCTCAGCTCCTGATTTTGCATTATTTTCAGTTCTATGAACTATGTCAATGGTGACTCTTAGATGTCTTCTGGTTATACTTACTTTTGGCCAAGATTGTTTAAGCCAAAAAGATGCTCAAAGAGAAAGACTTCTGATACATGTAAAGAGACTTGACAGTTGGAAAAAGTTCAGTAATATCTTCAAGTATAAAATGTGCTCTGTTGCCTGGAGAAGTGCGCCTGCCTAGTAAGTGTGAGGCCATAAGTTCAAGCTCCAGTACCACCAAAAAAAAAGAAAAAATGTTAAGTAAAAAGAGGCTGGGTCAAGTGGTAGAGTGCTTACCTACCAAGCCTGAGGCCCTGAGTTCAAGTCCCAGTACCCCCCCAAATATATATATATATAGTCTCTTTTTTTTTTGTAGCTTATTGGTAATTTTGGGTTCATTTAATTTTTTTTATTCATTTATTCACATGTGTGTACATTGTTTGGGTCATTTCTCCCCCCTGCCCCCCTCTCCCTATAGTCTCTTTTTATATAAGCTCTTTTTATTTCATTTAAAAACTTTGGTTCTCATCTTTATGTAGGAGAATTGGAGGCCCCTCCCTCCCTCACTTCACACCTTCTTCCTGACCCTAAGTGTGAAGTTGTAAGTTGGATTTCAGAGCTATTTTAAAAAAGATCTTTATTTCTGTCTTGGTTTTTGTTGCTTTCTTGTAGAGGGTGTTTCCAGTGGGAAGCAAAAGCAAAACATGCTCTTTAATGATTTAAGTGGTTCAGAATACAGAAAGTGAATGTTGCTGGTAATTCTACCCCAAGAATGCTGGCATTCATTCATTCATTCACTAATACTTTTTTGGTGCTAATGTGTATCAGCACTGTGTAATAAGCATATTAAGTACTATTGAGTACATGGCCCTTTGGATTTTTGAAAACATGTAGACTTTGTTTATTTGTTCTTAGACTTTTTCCTTTTTTGGTGGTACTGGGGCTTGAACTCAGGGCCTTGTGCTTGCTAGGCCAGGCACTTTACCATTTCAGCCACTCCACCACCCCCTGTTTTTTTGGGTTTTTTTTGGTGGAACAGGGGTTTGAACTCAGGGCTTGGAGCTTGCAAAGCAGGTGTTCTACCTCTTTTTGAGCCAACCCTCCAGTCCAAATTATTTATTTTTAAAAATAGGACCCTGTAATGTGTAGTTTTCTGTATAGTAGTCTGAATCAGTCTAGGAACTTGTTCCCTGATTATTTGTGGCAAAGCGAGCAGTATTTTCCTTTAGCAGAAGGCTTTAGTGGCAGACATAAAAACATTAAGCCCACCTGATTTTTAAATAAAGCAAACAGACAAAACTCATTCAGTGTAATTGGTTATTTTGAAATACAGTCCTTTTCCAAATTAGGACAAGTTAAGACCTTTGGGAGTGAAAGAGTTTGCTGAAGAAGGATCTGTGGAAAAAAGAAAATGACAGTTGAGTGGAAGAGCAGTGGGGAAGGAAGTAGAGGAATAAAAGAAAGCAAGAGCGCCAGGAAGGGAGAAGTACGAACCAGAGGGGGCAAGGCAGGGGGAGGCTCGGGTTTTCACACCAAGTCTCACATCCTGTCAGCTGTTGGAGGTGAGTTTGTTATTGTCTATTTATAGTAGCAAAAAAAATTTTCAAGAACAGAATGTGGTATTTCCTTTACCCAACTTTTCTGAATGTTAACAATTTATCACAATAATGTTATCATTCATTCATTCTCTCTTTAAATTGAAAAAATATATACATGCCTTTTTAAATGGAATGTTTGTAAATTGAAAATATTTGCAACCCTTTTCTTCTAAATGTTCTGCTATGTATTTCCAAAAAATAAAAAAAGGATATTCTCTTATGTAATCATAATGTCAGCATCAAAATTAGGAAATGAATGTGGATATAAAATTCTCGTCCAACCTGCAGGCCACATTCAGAGTTTTGCCTGTTTGTCCTCTGCTTCTAAGCACGCAGTGCAGCCCAAGGTGACACGGTGTGCTCAGTTGTCATGTGTCCTTGTGCTGAAGCAGTTTACCAGTCCTCACCTGTCATGACCGAGACTTTTCCACAGCCGGCCAGCTACCTGGTAGAATGCCCTTAGGTGGGATTTGTCTGCTGTTTTCTCTTGATGAGACTCGGGCCAGACCTTTTGGGCAGGATTGCCACAAAAGGGAATGCGGTGTCCTGAGCACAGCATGTCCGCAGCACGGTGGGGAGTTGATCCATTACTGCCGAGTTAACTTTGATTGCTAGAATAAGGGGGTGTCAGTCAGGTTCCTCCACCGCAGAGTCTCTGTCTACTCCTTGTAATTAATGACTTGCCATTGTGGAAGTAACCTGCTTCTCGGGCTTTCTACATCCATTGGTAGTTCTTACCTGGAAAAGGTTTGTAGTATTTGCCAGAGGGTAGTTTTCTATGTCAGTCATTGTCTTTTTCCTCAGAATTACTGAAATATAATTGACAGATAAAAGTTGTATCTATTCAGGGTAAACATTATGCTTTGTTATACATGTGAAGTGGTTACCAGGGTCAGCTGAATTAATGTGTCCGTCACCTCACATAGTGAACTTATTTTTTGTGTTGTAAGAACTCTTCAGGTCTGCCCTCTTACCAAATTTCAAGCGTGTGCTGCATTAGCAGGCATCACCACGCTGTGCCTCAGCACTTACTCAGCTTATAACTGAAGACTTGTAGCTGACACCAGTGTCTCCCCGTTTTCTGTCCCCTAACCTCTGGTAGCTGCTGCTCTAACCAGTGCTCCCATGAGTTCACCATTGATCGATTTGACACAGACATGAGACAGTGCAGCTTGTCTTTGTGGGTCTGGCTTATTTCACTTAGTGTGATGCCCTCCAGGTTACCTCCAGGATCTCCTCCTGTTTTAAGCTGACTAACGCATGCCTGCACCACATTTTCTTAACTCATTCATTCACTGATGGGCCTTCGGACTGTTTGTACAAATTGGCTGTTATGAGTAAAGCTGCAGTGAACATAGGAGTGTGGCCATCTTTCTGAGATAGTTCACTGTTTCATTTCTTTTGAAAAGGTACCCAGTAGTGGGATTGATGTATCCTATTATACACTTTAAGTGTTTGAGGAACTGCCATACTTTTCCCCATAATATACACTGATTTACATTTCCACCATGTAAGATTCTCCACACCCTTGTCAACACTTGTTATCCTTTGCCTTTTTGGATAATAACCATCCTAACAGGTGTAAGAAGATTTTTATTGTGGTTTTAAAGTACATTTCTCTGATGTTGAGCACCTTTGCATACATCTACTGGCCAGTTGTGTGTCTTTGGAAAAATGTTTATTCAAGCTTGGTCTATAACCTCATATATATGTGATATACACATATCTACATATGTGTCTATATATATAAATTAACAGCATTATGTTGTGACTCAAGTTGTAGAATTTATTTCAGCTTCATTCATCTTTCTCATGAATATCCTTTTGCATTCAGGAACCTACTTCAGCTCCCACACTGAGTTTTTGGCCTGTGTCTTTAGTCTCCTCTGATCTGTGATGGTCTGTTTTTCATGACCCTGACAGTTTTGAAAAGCAGCGGTCAGACATCCTGGAGGATGGTTCTCAAGCCAGGTTTGTCTTGTTTTCTCGTGATTAGATGGGGTAATGGATCTGGGGAAGGTAAGCTATATTATGGAGTATTCTCATCACCCAGGGGTCATTCTGTGTCTATCTGTCAGCATAGCCTGGCTGTGAGATTAACCTTGATCCCTTGGCTTAGGCAGTGCCTGCCAGATGTCTCCGAGTGTAATTGTTCTTGTTCCCCACCCATATTCTGTTCCTTGGAAGTGAGTCATCTAGTCCAGACCCTACCCAAGGGTAGAGGAGCTAAGCTTTGTTTCCTGGAGTGTGTAGTGGCTACCTAAGTTACTTAGAATCCTTTTGTAAGTAAGATGTGTCCTCTTGTCTCCATGCATTTGATTCTTTAGATGGGTACAGACCCACGTATATTTATTTTATACTTTGATTTATTATGCTGTATATTTTGTTACTCAAATTATTGTAGCTTAGGCCGTGGGAGTTTTCTTGGTTGGCTCCTATGTCCTTTGGCCTGCCCCTGTCTTTTTGGTTTTTGGCATGTCCT